TGAAAAGAAACTCAAAATTGAGTATGCAAGAAATGTGCTGAAAGTGTGCAAAGACTGACAGTTGCGGGAGAATGAACAATGCTGCAGAATTTATTTAATAGTAGTAAAGAAAAATGTTGCTGACTGTACTGATCCATGTCCTTGATGAAAGGCAGGTCTCCTGCCAAGGTTATTCTTTATTCTCATATACCTAAAGAAATACCTAGTAATACTAGCAATCTTATTAACTTTACTCTATAGCATGTATGAAACTTCAATGAGATGTTGTTCTTTAGCAGCCTTTGAATATAACTTGAGTCAGGATTTTAACTGAAATGTAGGGTGTCATGTATGTGAAACCTGAATTAATGGCAAGTGGAAGTGCCACAGTGCCTGTTCTTTGCTCATTTGAATCCACCTTACAGTATTTCATAGGTGTTGTGCAGTCCAAGGGTGGGCCAGGGAGAGTTTACTGCACAAAGGTAACTTGTGGTAGAGCAGCTGATTCGTTCTGCCTGAGGTTAAGATCTCACACTTCGACAGCCCAAAGTGAGAGCAAATTAGCAACTTACCTTGCCCTGAAGGGAGAGCTGTTTCAACATATCTGACGTTTACACCAGGGTAAGATCATGCCTGTAGGTTGTTGGCTCTGTGTGACACCCTGCAGGTACACAGTCTAACCTACTGTGCTGTAGTTTGTGAACATGCCCTTACCTTGAGACACTCTGTGACCTTCATGAAAAAGTCAAACTGTTTAAAATGCTTGGCACGCATCAAAAATTTATCCTAGCTGCTTTTGTTAAATGATACATTAAGTTGCATTAATAACTTTTCCTCTGGCAAGCACTTCTTGAAATTTGTCTTTGCTTCCCTGTGCACTTCCATCTATCACAATAACAGAGTTTTTCAGGAAATAGCACGGGGGTGAATATTACAGAAGGAAGAAACACTTTTACAGGAACTTTAAAGTAGCACTTGCCATAAGCTGTTTACTGCATTAATAACTCAGCTGTTGCTTTAAATAAAAAGCCTTTATTTTATCTTTACAAAGTTGCCAACTAAGTCCTTCTATGCCTCTCCATATTAGCACCTTACAGTGACACTTAATCATGGATAAACAGTCTTCTGGTCTGGCTCACAGCTCACCTACTTTAGGCTGATGTGTGTAGGCTTATAAGTGTTAAAATTGCAACAATAAAAATGTTGTTTGGCTGCTTTTGCCATTCTTTGAATACCTTCCAGTACTGTCCTTAAAATAGTTTGGGATGAACCAAAAATAGGTATTGCTATTGACAGATGCATTTTGTGTTAGCCATTGCAGAAGAAAGGTGAAATTCATAGCACAACTTGGGTTTACAACTTAGTTTGATTTAAAAGTAGCTACTGTTTAGATATTGTTGCAGAGGTGAAAGAAGGACAAGTCTTAAAAAGGATATTTCTCTTCTTGGGGCTGGGATGAATTTCCTCCACTTTCTTTTGTAGATTTATTTTTGTAGGTGAAGTAATTTTCATGAGAAGTTTTACTGTTTCTTGTTTGGTGTTTCCCTCCCATCTCCAAGCCGGTACAGCACTGATTTCAAGTTACGAGCCGCTGATTGGGAAAATTTGTCTACAGTTGTTCTCATTCCAAGCAGAACTTTACACCATACAGTTTGGCACAGCAATTAATCTCTGCTTCAAGAAAATACAACGCTGAGAGAAGATGAGTCAGGCTTGAGGTTGATTGGCAGAGTTGTGGGAGAAGATTGTGCATGGCACCTGCCCATGCTATTCCTGGATCTTGCCATTCCCGGTGGTGTCATTCCGTGAGCATTAGATTCCCTCATTAAAATAAAAAATAACAGAGGGAAGCAGAGGAAAGCAGGGGCCTCTGAAAACTGCAGTAGGCTCAACCTGCTTAGCAATGCAAGAGATCATACTATAATCAGCTCTGGTTTTTTCAGTGTGGTTATAGAGATGGTCTTAATGTTGTTTTGTTCCCTTATCCGTGTATCTATCACAGAATCAAAGAATGGTTTGAGTTGGAAGTTACTTCAGAGATCATCTACTTTGTACCCCACTGCCATGGGCAGGGATATCTTCTACTGGACCAGGTTGCTCCAAGCTCCATCCAACCTGGCCTTGAACACTCCCAGGGATGGGGCAGCCACAGCTTCACTGGGCAAATGTTCCAGTGCCACACCACCCTCACAGTAAAGAATGTCTTCCTAATATCTAATCTAAACCCACCCTCTTTCAGTTTAAAGCCATTTGCCCTTGTTCTGTCGCAACATGCCCTTGTAAAAAGTCCCTCTGCAGCATTCTTGTAGGCCCCTTTAGGTACTGGAAGACCACAGTTAGCTTACCCCAGAGCCTTCACTTCTCCAGGCTGAACAACCCCAACTCTCTCAGCCTGTCTTCACAGGAGAGGTGCTCCAGCCCTCTGATCATCTTCATGTCCCTCCTCTGGACCTGCTCCAACAGGACCATGTCCTGCATTTGTTGGGAACCCCAAAGTTGAATGCAGCACTCCAGGTGGGGTCTCACCAGAGGGTGACCTGCTGGCCACACTGCTTTTGCTCAGTTGGGCTTTCTGGGGAGTAAGTTGTTTTGGCATAATTTTCATCCCTCTCCTAAGAA